TTTGTAGAAAATTACAGATTTATGACGATTCATGAGCTTATTGAGCCACTATGAAAATATTAGAGTTTCATCGTATTTTATGATCGAATATTTTAAGACCCAAGTCGAAGGCCCAAATGAAAAGAGTCAAATAATCAAACTAGACTCGAGAACCGCTTAAATAGCCGGGCCCGATCGGGCGCTGAACATTCACACTGATTTGAAAGTCAGCTGGGCTTTGTTAACAAAAGCCCAATCCCTTAACTGATGGGCGTGAATTACCGGGCTTAGTGGTAAACGTGGGCTGCTTTTGGAGTTTTATTTTGAGTGGAATTTGTGGATTTCTTTTCCTATATAAAGGGGTAGTAGTACGTAGGTTAGGTAGTTTTTTTTAGCTTAGTTTTAGACTTAGTTTTGTTTCGTTTATCAAATAACACAACCAAAAGACAATTTAAGTGACTTGAACAAAATTAAATTTTCAATTTTCAAACTTTGACATGGAAACGATGATGGTTTGACCTCAAACAACTATAAAAAGAGGCAATTAAATAGTTCCTATGCAACAGTCTATTCCCTCAATAAACAAATAATAAAAAAAGAAAAATCAAATAAAAATTAGGGCTAAGTACCTGCATATTATACAAATTATATTCGACCACCATCATTTTCCCTTACATCAACCCGTAACTTCAATTGTACCCACAAAATCAAATAGAGGAAATATTTGAAAAAAAAATTACCTCGCAAACTGCTTTAGTAATGAGATAAAGGAGAGATGGAGAGAGAAAGGTAATGGCAAAAATGCATGGTGGAGCAGAAAAAGGGGGAAAAAAAAAGGCTGAGGCCTTGTTTGGTTCACCTTATTTTTGCCGATCTGGTCTGGTCTGATCTGATTGTCTGTTTTGACCAAACTTTGACCTTAAGTGTACGATAATCTATAAGGAAAAAATATATCAAGTGGGATCTTGTTAGATTAATAATGTGTAGTTTATTAATATGTAATTTTCACAATTTTTCTCATTATGAAATTAAGAATATTTAGCGATAAAAAATCGCACATAAAACGATGTTCTGATCTGAACTTATTTTTTCTGATCTGATCTGATCTGAACTTATTTTTTTTTATCTGATCTGATCTGAACTTATTTTTTCTTAATTAAGTAAAAATAAGGTGAACTAAACAAGGCCTGAGTCATTGATTGAAAACAAGGGCAATTTCGAAAATTTTTTAAAAAAAAAAGAAAAAAAAATCGAGGGTATAGCCGTCAAGTCACTATTCCTTTTGAAAAACATTGTTCATTTGCTAATCCGAGCGTTCTTCTGGCTTTTAGGGGTTGGAGATTAGTTTTAGTTTTAGATTTTAGTTAATGTTGACTTTTATTTGTTATTACTTCGTATTAGTTTGATTATTATTGTTTCCTTTAGGTTCTTTTTATTATTGTTTTCATATTTAGTTTAATATTATTGCTTTTAATCATGCTTAATTTAATTGTTTTGTTTAGTTTAATATTAATTATGTGCGAGTAGTTTAATTCCGGGGTTTTTGGGGGATCCGTAATAAATATGAAGGGATAATATGTTATTATTGATTATTGATATTGCATGATAATTTCTTATTGAATTGTTTTAATTCTTTGTAATTAGATTATGAATCGAGCAGATGTGATTTGATTGTAAAAGTATAGCAATATTGAATTGATGAATCGAGCAGATGTTAATTTGTTATTAAACACTATTTTCAATAATAACTTAGATCTAGTAAATTGCGAGAGCTTGTTAGATCTATGTTGATTAATTAATTGCGAGAGCCTGTTAATCATGTTATGTTTGCAATATTAATTATTGATTGTTATGTTTTATCCCAGAGTATTAATTATTGGTAAACCTCTGACCTAGGCTTTTATTATTGATTTTTCTCTTAGATAAAACGTTGTTTTCCTGTAGATTCGACCCTACTTCCCTATCTATTTTAGTTAGTGATTTTAAGAATTGCTTTTGATTAGGTGATAAGACTTTTGCCTGTCACCCTACTTACATTTTTTTAATATTCAAGTCAATAATTAACATAAATTTATATGTGAGATAAGTAAAATGTAACACTTAAAAATCTTTTTACATTTAAGTCAATTGATTAACCTACAAAAATAAAAGAGGGGGGGTTTATGATGTGGGAATTGAGGGTGGAAATTGGAGTTTTAATCCCAATTGAAATAAAAAGTCTTGTTTGTTTGATGGGAATGGGAATGAAAAGAGGTTTGGAGATGAGAATATTTAGGGGTGAATTCCCACCATTTTATTACCTAGGGAGGATAGGTAATATAAATGGATGGGAATGGAAATGAGTTTAAAATGACATTTTTGCCATTATTGAAAAGAATGAAAAGGAAATGTTAGTAAGGGTATTATTGTAAAATTGTTATTTATTCCCTATATATTTTTCCACCCACTATCCAAAGAAAGGTATTGACATATTTTCCTGAATTCCCAACAATTAATTCCCAAACTCCCATTTCCACCTTTTAATCCCCAAACTCCCATTCCCACATTCCAAATGCATCGAGAGTGCGTACAAAATCACTCTGATAATGCAAAAATCAAAATAAGACACGACAAAGGCTACACATGCTACTATTGTATGTGAGCCCCACATACAATTTGACATGACACTCTCACATTGGGCAAAAAATTAGGCCCCAATTCTCATTCATATTCACATTTCATTTGAATTTCAAATGATTTTTCAAACAGTAAAATTTGAATTTCAAATAGAGTTGTAATTTTCAATGTAAAATTAATGTATCATATATTTTTTTTAATTCTTTTGATGTTCATTTTTTTATTTTTTTATTTTTATTTATTTTTTTATTTTTTAAATTTGGGCTATTCATCTTCTCCATTGTTGTCCATTGAAGCTTTTTTTTTTCTTTGCATTTACTCGACTCTTTTTCAATGTTGACTCAATATTTGTTTGGGTTTCATGTTCTTCAAATTAATCATTTTTAAATTCTTCACATGTATAGCTGAGATTCTTTCCTTTTTTTTTTTTAAAGAGTTAGGTTTCATATTCTTCTTTCATATGGAGTATAATTCAATGAATTATATAACCCCCAAAAAAAGACTAACCGTTGTCGAACATGAATAATTAATTTTATACTGTACAATGAAATTAACTACTCGATGTATTTTTTTTTCTAATTTGTAAAATATTTGTCTTTTATTTCATCTTGTCCTCCATTAATTGTTTGTTGTCTCCATTAAAATTTAATTTGAGTGTAGATTTTTTTTCTAGAGTGTTGAAAGATAAAACCTTAATAATTAAATAATATGATTCATGGGACATAAATACGACAACAACTGTTGACATTATTATTTATCTTAATTATTAAATATAGAAGAAACACTAGAATGTCAAAAATGGCTGAAATATTAGAACATCGAAAATGGAAGAAAACCCCAAAATATGACGAACGCTCTAATTTCTTAATTAATTGGTAACAAAATTTTTGGTAAGTGAAAGATCAATAAACGAAGTTGCATTGAGCAATAAATAATTAATTTAATAATTTATTAACATGGTGAATATCTTGTAATCTTGGTTACTTGATTACTGATAAATTACTAATTTGTCAATTTGGTACCAGGTTCAAATTCATTCCCTTAATGCCATTTTTTTTTCCATTCTCCTTAATATGAAATTTATAATCGTCCATAAATAATAGTAACAAAAGATGAAAATATAGTAACTGAAATTATATATCTTTTGTAAAATTACATTTTTTCGGAAACGTTTTATGATTCAAGAAAGAAGTCGAAAACATGTAGTGATTTGATTGTGTGTAACCCATAGTGATCTGATTCAAACTATATACCTCGTATGTATTATTATTTGAATTAAACCCTCAAATGTATAGATTAAACCTTATAACACTTGATTATAACTTAGTAAAGTAATTTTGATTTTTAGTACTTATAGCGACCTTGATTATGTGTTATTGCTTGAAATAATTTATGGTGAGAGAAATATCGAAGCAATTGTGTTCTAAATGTAATTATACAACGAATGACAATTATTACAAAAGTACTCGAAATTATTTAAGTAAATTCAATCAAGTAATTAGCAATATAGAGTGTCACAAGAACTTTGCAAATTATTTTGCTTTTTGGGTATGTTTAAATTTTTTTTCTTAATATGAAATTTCAAAATATACACATTAATAAGTAACATAAATTACAAAAACAACGTTATGAAATAATCCATCCTATATTACAACCAAATACATATTCATGAAATTGTAATTTTCTAGGAACATATACACATAGGGGGTTAAGGAATAACTAACAATGATGTTAAACACTATATCTTGTTCTAGAGTATTAAGAGGCTGCCCCTTGAGTTACCGATTTCAAAGATTGATAACCTTGCTAAAATAACTACACAAACTATAAGAAAACATTTCAAACAAACAATAACACTTGATAATTTTATGATTGTATTTAACACCTATTTATTTTTATACGGTTACTTTATATGTAATAAAGTTATAATCTGTATATTTTTGGTATGTTTGAAATTTTTGTAGTAACCATAACAACTTCATAATAATAACTATAGTAAGGTTAAAATTGTTCAACTTCATAATTTTTTTCGAAAATATATCGATATGGATGTCTATAGAAAGATCTTTAAAAATTAATTTCATTGATTTTTTATAATAATTTTTTGATTTGTAGTTTGTAAAATATCGTCTAATGAAGTATTATTTGATTATTACGATAAACATCTCTTTTCATTAATGATGCTGACTAGGACGCTATTATCTCTAGTACCAACTTTGTATTTTTTTAGTAACGTAAAATATTTTTTCAGTAACAAGATTGTTATTAGGCGCCAATAAAATTCTTTCCGCCTATTTATGCTAGATGGCGCTTAAAACCAATTTTTTTTTTCACTCATTTTTCTAACTAATGCTCAGTTGTTATTTTCATACAATAGTTGGTCCACATACAACAGTTGTATGTGGAGACACTCATTTGAAAATGGTGAAATAAACAAGAGTACGAAGGTACTGAAAATCAAAATCACACTCACTTGAAAATGGAGAAATAAATACGGTAAATCGAACCCAGGTACTGAATATTGCAAGGTTATTTCGTCAACTATCTTTTCTCACTTTTCTCCCACAAATCCCCAAATATGCACCGACAACCATAACTGTATCATCATAAATCCTTAATCAAAGTGAGAGAAATTAAAAATTCAATCAAATCCAATGAATCCCATGTCAATTTGTTCATCTTCATCATCGTCGAGCTCCACAAAATCGTGGGTTGTTCATGGATTGGTAGTTGGAGCAGCGGTTGCGGCAGCCATTGGTGCTCACACATACTTCTACTTCCGTCGATCTCGGAGGTTTAGGTCCCGGGTTATCGGAATTATTCCCGCTCGATTTGCTTCTTCTCGATTTGAGGGGAAACCTCTTGTTGATATTCTTGGCAAACCTATGATCCAGGTAATTTTGATTCAAATTAATTTGCCCCCATTTCAGCTTTTTGAATTTTGTAAAGTTTTGTTGTTAGTTTTTAATCATTGATTAATAACTGGATCTGGGTTATGATTTTTGTTGATGTTACTGCTGAATTTAATAGTACATTTTGATTATTGTTTGATAATCCTGATATTTTGGGATGGTGAAAAATCATGAGGATTAAGTTTTAACACTGGTGTTTTTATACATTTGTCTTATTATCTTAATGATTTCTGTTTTTTAGAATTTTGGGAAAAACTTATTTTACCAATTTTGCTAATGGTTTTATTCAAAAAGAAAAAAAAATTGCATATGGTTGAATTTTACCTGATATAGTGATAACTGTAAATATGTTACTATACACTCGTTGTATACAAAACCAACGGTAGACTTTATAATCTAGAAATCAGGGTGTATCTGATAATTGTTAGTTGGAGGGTTATAGAAGTGATCAGAAGGCTTATATGGGTGTTTTTATCAGTTACAAGTGTTATATATTGAAATGGGTCTTGAGGATGTAGGAGATGGATCCATCTCCCCCCAATTGGTTGGGGTTTCGACTCCTCATCCCCCCCATTCCTGTGATAGGGTGGGGGCCCTCCCTATGTACCTTACCGTTAAACAAAGACAATATATTGAAATGGGTCTTTCATCAATAAATTTTGCTGGTTCTAGGAGTTTCTAAATGTAGAATTGTCTGAGAATTTCAAAATTTAGAGAGAGATTATCGAAGAACAGCAGCTCAGGAAGACTAAGCTAACTAAATACGGAGTATTATTCTTATTAGCATCAAATTTATGTACAACGTTAAGATTAGCAGTCCTAATTTTACTACTATATCCCACAAAATCAGTGAATTACAACTGTACAGGTAATATAAATAACAATATTATAATATTACACCCCCTTCAAGATGGACTTAAGCTTGGAAGTCAAGCTGTTGTGTTGCACAGGTAAAAGAGCTTTTGCTAATAAATCCGCCTTTTGCATGGAACTAGGAACATAATTTGTCTCAGTAAAATCTTCTACTACTTGTTCTCTCACATAATGATAATCCCTTTTCATATGTTTGGTGAGCTCATGAAACGTGGAATGTGCAATATATTCTGCTGATCTGTTATCAATATGCATGATGACTGGGATTGGAACTTCAACTCTCAAAGCTTATAACAAACCTGCGGTAGCTGACATACTCCTATATTCAGCTTCAGCGGAAGACTTGCTTACTGTTTTCTGCTTTTTAGTTTTCCATGAAACTAAGTTTGAACTCAAGAAAGCACAATACGTGATTAAAGATCTGCTACTAATTGACAAGAACTCCAATGTGCTCAGAGTAAGCTCTCAAAACGAGATCAAAATCAGCAAAATAGAACAATTCCAAATCAGTAGTATGCAACTCCCTAGCACAATTGAGGAATTGAGATAAATGCGAAATAGATACTTCAGATCTGGTTTTGTGATTCCTAAATATAAAAGTCTGCCTACCAACCTTTTGTACACCTCAGGTTCTTTCAACACCTCACCTCACCTCACCATACTCTGTAGAAAGCTTTAAAGTGGGTTTACAATTTTCTAACTTCAATTCTTCAATGATATCTCTAATATACTTTTGTTGAGAAAGAGTTGTAACCTAGAAAGTACTTCAATTGTCCGAAGTCTTTGATAGTGAAAGCTTTATGTAATGATCTTTCACCTTATTAATCTGAGTCCATCAGTTCCAGTATTAATCATATCATCAATATATCACTAATAGAATCAGAAACTGATTGACCTATTCTCTAGTGAACATAGAGTTAACTTGAGTGGATTGGACAAACCAATACCACTCAAAAACTTACATAACTCATTCCATTTCTTGAAGCCTTCAACCCATTAATTGCTCTCTTCAGTTTACAAACTTTTGGTGCAGCTCAAGTGCATTCGGGAGGTGGTTTCATGTATATTCTTCCTCAATAAACCTTGCAAAAATGCATTGGTCACATCTTGACACAAAGGCCACCTCATAACTGCTAAAGCAACTAGAACCCTAACCATTGCCAGTTTTGCAACAGGTTAAATGTCTATTTAAAATCTTTTTCTTTTACCTATTGGTAATCTATAGCAACAAACCTGCCCTTCAATTCATCCACACTACCATCAGGATTAAATTTAGTAGTAAACCCATCTACACCCAATATTCTTCTTTCCTTTAGGCAGATCAATAATATCCCATGTCCTATTGACTTCCAATGCATATATCTCCTTTTTCATACCCTCTTGCCACTTGATGTCCCTTTGCCTCTTCATAGGTAGTGGGATCCTTGACTATTCACATTTCCAATGAAAACTTAAATGGAATCCTTTTTAAAATAACAGCATTGCAAGACTTGTTTGTAGGAACTTTTCTGACAAGATTTTATATGGGATCTTCCATTTCAAAACAGAAGAAGGCATTCACATCCTAATACCCTTAAGTAGGTAATTTTCCTAACAAGATTTTATATGGGTCTTCCATTTCAAAACAGAAGAAGGCATTCTGTTAATCAAAGTGATCGCAGCCAAAATATAATCACCCCAAAATCTTTTAGGAACATTAGCTTGAATTCTTAATGCGCTAGCAACTTCTAACAAATGTTTATGCTTTATCTCAACCCTCCTATTTTGTTGTGGTACACCAACAATATTTCTTTGATGAATAATCCCTTAGTTCAATAACAAATTCAAACATCCCTTTCTCACAATTTCAGTACCAATATCAGATATTACTGCCTAAATATTCTTTCCAAACTGAATTTCAACATGAATTACAGTCACGGTCTTATAAACTTGAACTTTATCGTGAAGAAGATTAGTCCATGTTGTTCTACCATGATCAAATCTCTCCTCCACATCCTTCTATAAACTCTCAGCAGACTCAAACAGAGAAAAATCGCAATAAAATTCTGGTTTCCTTGAGTTCAACAGCCATCCAATCACCATATAATAATACCTTAGCTATTGATGATACTTAGGATCACTTTCTCCAGGTTTATAAGTGAATCCTTATATGAATCCTAATTTGTTTATATTTCCTTAAGCTACCATAAGTTTAACATTTCTAGGCCAATTTAAGAAATTCTTGTCATCATATACCACAGAAACAAGAGGCGTAGTCAAAATCATCAGATGGTGCTAAAAACAGAGGACCATTAAAGCAATTACTCATACTCAATGTCTGATGAGGTTCTCTACTTTCTTCTCAAACTTTCGGCATTATCTCTTACTTAGAAAATCTTGAAAACTCTTCAATAATTTCAAGAAGACTAGACACACTTCAATTCTCTTCAAACACCTCATGATTATGACTATCAACTCAAGATCGAACACAAATCCGAGAATTCCATTCGAGTATCAACTGTAAATTTTTCAAATTCGTATAATGTGTATCAAATTGATCGGCTCAACAATCAAAATGCAAACAGCAAATGAATTCAAGACAAATTCAATAGACTTGATGAAACTTCAACAAAATTCCTCCAAAAAAAAAAAATTGAAGATCAATTAAGATATGATTAGATGATTTCAATCTTTCAAAAAAAAAAAAAAAGAAACAGCAAAAATTGGACAAGGATCACAAATTTTCTGCTCGGATACCATGTAGAATTATCTTTGCTCGGATACCATGTAGAATTAGACTTGTTGAAACTTCAACAAAATTCCTCCAAAAAAATATTGAAGAAAAATTGAGATATGATTAGATGATTTCTATCTCAATAAGAGAACAGAAAAAAAAAAAAAAAAAAAAAGCAGCAAAATTTGGAAAAGGATTGCAAATTTTCTGCTCAGATACCATGTAGAATTAGACTTGTTGAAACTACAAAAAAATTCCTCCAAAAAAATAATCGAAGAAAACTTGAGATATGATTAGAAAATTTCAATCTCAAAAAGAGAACGGAAAAAAAAAAATCGGCAAACATTTGGAAAAGGATCGCAAATTTTCTGCTTGGATACCATGTAGAATTATCTATGCTCAGATAAATTATCTGAGAATTTCAGTTGTACAAGTGATATAAATAATATTATCCAAATTCTTCGACTAACTTCATTTTAGAGAGAGAGAGAGAGAGAGCTGCAGCAGCTCAGGAAGACTAGCCTAGCTAAGCTAACTGAAATACTGAATATTATTTTTATTAGCATAAGATTAGTTGTCCTATTCCTACAATTCTCGCTAAATCATGGAATTCCAGTTGTACAAGTAATATGAATAATATTATCCAAATTCTTCCACTAACCTCATTCTAATATGAGAGGTTTTATCTTAAATTGTTCTTCATTTTTGTTTATTCCCTTCCTAAATTATTTTGTTGAGTGTGCTATGAATTAACATAGCTTTAGCATCATATGGCAGAAAATAGGAAGAAGATGGTGAGTTTTTGACTAATAAACTGGATTACAGCACTTTTGTATGATAATTCCACTTCTGAGAGGTGGATTCTATCCCAATATAGCTTTCTAAAGCTACTCCAAAACATTCTACATTATTCAGCATAATTATCGTTCTCTAATTAGCTCTATTTATATAGCTTTTCCTTAACAAACAAACTACCAACTTCAAGCTACTATAAACTTAATTATAACTATACTACGTAAAGTGTCTCTCTCCCCTAATATCCATTCATTGCAGAGTAATGTGAGATTCATTTTGAATTGTCGAGTTGTCCATTATCGAATTTCACTCATGACCCATATTAGTGTATCATCAAGAGTAGACTATGTAATAGAGTGAGATTACTGCTAACTTACGCAAATAACAGTAAAATAGAGAGAAAAGATTGGTTTTTTTGATTAAACTGGATAATCTGATTTTTGTAAATTGATTGAATACGAAGAAATAATAAGATGGGAGCTTAAATATTGATTGGAAATGGCAAAAGGTTTACAAAATGATAGGTTTAATAGCTTTAGGAGTTTAGGCTATTACTTTCAAAATAGCTTGAGGCTATTACTCTCTAACAATGGCTTTAGGCCATGACTCTCTAAGATTTCCTTTCGATACAAACTTCTGCCTGCCCCTCTCTCTACCCCCCTTCTCCTATTTAAAGGACCTAGCTAAATAGTACAGCTTTAATTACTAACTTTACTACCCTTTGTCTTTATCCCAATGTGCCAACTAGTGGCTGCAGCTTTAAGTTGCTGCTGCGTGGTGTGGTTGTGCCTCACCACCTTGGTTGAGATAGTGCTCAAAGGTCTCAGACCCTGTCCTTTCCTCTGCTGGCTTCTGTTTGTATAAAGCATAGGTGGCTTGCTCTGATTAGTGACAGACTAGTAACACAGCTGTTGCATTGAATAGTTTATTATTTTGAGGAAATGAATCCTATATTGTTAGTCATAGGAAAATTTCTTCTTTGTTGTTTATTCTAGTCACAAATTGAGACTTTCTTGTATGTTGACTTTTTACGTCTGCCTGCTGTTTCATTCTCACAGAGGACATATGAAAGAGCGAAGCTGGCTTCTATGTTGGATCAAGTTGGTAACTTTCTTGACTTGGTTATTTAACAGATTATCTAGTGTTGTAGAATGTGAGAGCTGAATGTTGGTCTTCTGATGTTGAATAAGATTAGAAAATTTTCTGTGCAGTTGTGGCAACAGATGATAATAAGATTGCAGAATGCTGCCGAGGATTCGGTGCAGATGTAATAATGACCGCCGAATCTTGTCGTAATGGTATCAGTCAGGAGTTGTCTCTCATTTCATTTTTGGTTGGCAAAAAAATGGAGTATTACTTAATCAATTTTCATAAGGTCAAAGTTTCATAGTGATTTGCTAAGGATGATGTGTATGTGTTGCAGGTGCTGAGCGTTGCAGTGAAGCACTTCAGAAGCTCAACAAGAAGTATGACATTGTTGTCAATATTCAGGGGGATGAGCCTTTGATTGAACCTGAGATAATAGATGGGATAGTTAAAGCTCTGCAGGTTTGTCTCTGTTATTCTAGCCCCCTGGAGTCCTCTCTGTCACTTTTATTGTATCACTCTTTTTCTTGTTGATTGCCCTACTTTTTTAATACAGATATTTTTACTATATGCTTAATGTTACTCTATGCATTCAATGCTTAACTCTATTTAAATATACTACCAGTGACCATTTTTAGTACTCCTCAATCGGCTTAATGTGCATTGTTCGCCAAGTATGCCAACTATGACAATAAAGGTGAACTGAACAAGAAAACAAATTATTCACCTGTTATTGCTGCATGATCCTTCAGAGGTTTTCCCTTTCTTAATGTCATTGTGTTGATTTTTCTAGTTTCTTTTTTATTATATATAGCCGATTAGGAATCAGCAATTTGCTTCACTTGCAAACATTTGCACGAATCATTCGTTTCATAAAGTTCTATATGTACTTTACGAAATGCAGTGTGTGCAAATTAATAGCTTGTTGTTGGTGCATTCAAATCTGTGGAAGTGCCAGGTAGAAAACAAAAGTGAATGAGTAATAGCTACTACTTTGGCTTCAGTATTTCATAGTCTCCCTGCTTCCTTGAGATGCTTCATCTCTTCTTACCGGAGTCTATTTTGGAAATTTGTATCTGCCTCTGGTAGTTCCTTCTGTCTGTCCTTTCTTGGATAAACTTGCTTGTGTTACCCTTTAATGTGTTTGCTGCTTGTAATAAACTCAAAATACTGCTAACTTGCTCACACAACATAACTGGAAATTTGAGAGGGAAAGATTGGTTCTTGATTGCAAACTAGTAGCTTTTGGCTACCACTCTTTATGTTAGTGACTTTAGGTCACAAATCTCCTAGAAATCTCTCACCAATGCCTGCCTAATCATTTCTTCTATCTCCCTATTTATTTACATTGAGGCTAGGAAGCTTTGCATGGAGGGGTAGTAAGATTGGACTGATACTTATGGGATTAAGGCTTGGATTGATTGATTGAGGCTAGGAAGATTCTAGACTGAATTGTTGTCTTATCTCTCATGTGAACACCTTTTTTTGTTGATTTTTTTGTTGCTGTGCGGTGTTGCACTTCTCTATCTTGGTTGGGTTGTTTTTGTCTTCTTCTCCTAGTATATGTTAGGACCAGAGGTGGCATCTCTCAGTTCATTGCATATTCTCCCTTATTTATACTAAATTTGATGCCCTACTAACATTATTAGACTACCCGTAATGCCCCTCCCTTAGGCCGGTTCATTACACTACTCCCAATCGGACCCTTGCCCATTGGGGTTTGGCTACTTTTTTTTCCGATTGGGCGGAGCTGATGAGATACCGGAAAAAAAAAAAAAAAAAAAAAAGGAAAATGGGGCAAACAAAAGGGAACATAGGAGTAAAAAATATCCTTTTTTTTCCCCATTTTCTTGTTGTGTTCACTCATTTTAAAGTCTTTTGCGTGTAGTTTGAGATTCGAATCACTGACATGATGTGAACTACTTAAATGGTACCTTGTAGTTGCATGTTGTTGTAATGGACCTGTTTCTTGCACTCAAGCCACCAATACACGTTTTCTATGATAGGAAGGGGAAGAAAGGCAAACAAGCAGCCACATCACAGCAGGGAGGTGCACAACTGGCGCAAGGGACAAACAAAAATACAAAATTAATGTTTACAGGGAGGGGGTGCAACAACGAGTAGTGGAGCCTGGGAGTAGTAGTGTAATGCATTGTAGGATGAGACAAATAGTAATTAATGTTAGGGTACTTCTGGAGTTCTGGTAGTATTGATGTAGTATATAAAGAAAGAGGACTAGCCTTGAGGGGGTAGGCATGAATTGGGTTATTGGAAATGGAGAGTGGCAGCCTCAAGTTGCTAGTAGGCAATTTGCAGGTTAAACCTACTACCTTTGTTAGCTTTCAGCCATTCAATCAAAACATTAAGCTATTATCTTCACTCATTTGCTTGGTTAAATCCGAAATACTAAGTCAGAAATTCAGTCTATTACAGTTGTGACCCAAAAAAAAAAAAAAAAAAAAAAACTTTAAATGCATGCTATTACATTTATAGCCTCTCGGGCAAGTAGTTAGTTTTTTTAACATCTTCAAGATCTAACATTAGTTTCTTGAGGTGAGCTGAACATATGTCCACCATGTCTATATATTGACTGTAAAATCCACCTTAATTTCTTTTGCTACCCTGTGTCAAAAGCATTTTCTGCATGCACATTGAACTCAGAACTGAGATAATTGTTTCTGAACAAAGGAGTACATGAGAGATGTACATATTTGAATATTGTTATTCTTGTGCACTAAATTCAATTCCGATCATCCTATTATTATGTGAATCTAGGACATTCTTGTTGGTAAGCTTCCCAGTATTTGCTGGCACACTGAAAAATATGATTCATATGCTTTCTTGGCCAGTGATAATGTGCAGGCTCATGTTTGTAAGGTTTGTCTTATATGTACTTTCCCGATCCTTGCAGTCTGCTCCAGATGCAGTCTTCAGCACTGCTGTCACACCTTTAAAGCCTGGGGATGCCTTTGACACAAACCGTGTGAAATGTGTTGTTGACAATCTTGGTTATGCTATCTACTTCTCCAGAGGACTTATCCCATATAACAAGTACCATTTCTGATCTTTTTCTTTTCCTAAATTTCATAGTTTCTGTTTGCTCTATTAATGAACTTTTCTTGTGCCTATTCTTCTAGATCTGGGCAGGTTAATCCGGATTTCCCATATTTGCTCCATCTTGGTATTCAGGTATGGCAATGACACGTTGAATATGCCTTTCACAGACGATACTGCTAGAGGAGTACAGACTAATTTAGATCCTTCTATTTTTGTATGTCTATGACACTTTTTTTTTTCCATGTATTTACAGAGCTATGATGCTGAATTCCTCAAAATATATCCAGATCTGCCACCTACACCATTGCAACTAGAAGAAGATCTGGAACAACTCAAAGTCCTTGAGAACGGCTATAAACTGAAGGTTGGTGTGTGTGTGTGTCTGGTGGTTGGGGGAGGGGGGGTTATTGAAGAGGAGGGGGGAGGTGCTCTATCATGTTACAAATTCCATTCATTTATTATAATCCATATTTTTGCTTAAGTTGATGTGGCTCCATATCAAAAAATTATAAAATAATAACTGATTTAGCTTTTTATTCAAATTTAATTTTGTTGAGCACGGACTGCACAATTCGATTGGTTCAAGGGTGTGTATTTCTTTTCTAATTTTTTCCGCTGTGCATCTCTTACAAAGTACTGAAGTACTAGAATAGGGACTATTATTATTAAAAATATGTACAGTCAAGATTAACAATATTTATTGTTAATCTTTTCGTCAAAAGAGATTAACAATAAATATGACAGTGTTTGATGGGTCATTGTGTTATCACCCTTTTCTATTGCTGCATTCTGAATTTTGAACTCAATTGTTCATTCTTTGATATCTCTAATCCTCAGGTTATAAAGGTTGAGCATGAAGCTCATGGAGTCGATGTTCCTGAAGATGTAGAAAAGATAGAAAGATTCATGCGTGAAAAGAACTTATCATAGTTTTACAAGAGTGTCATCACAGAATTACAGACTGACTCGGTGTGATTTTAGTGAGGTTTGGTTTTCTTGCTGTCCTTATGCTTAGACAATTGAAGAGAAGAATATATTTGTTGATGAACTGCTTTGGATTTTTTTTTTTTCCACTGAATATAGGAAGTAAGATAGGTAAGAACTGTGTGAAGAACCCTTTTTGACAGTTTCTACTCAGTTTATAATGGATTACATAACTTCTTGTTAGCTTCAATTCTATCTCTATACACGATGTAATAAAGCCATTTGAGATGGAGGTGTGCTATTTGTTGTCATTGATATGTTGAAACCCAATCAGTGAACATGTTTGTAATGTGTTTCTATAAATCTCTTTAATGGTTTTACTGCATTCTCTTCCGAAACATCGACCTTAAATTCATCAGTTATTATGTCTTTAAATTCAAGCTGTTCGATGCCAATCTGTTTTTAGGTATATTGGGACGTTAGCTGGGAGAAGAGGGGTTCTCTTCAGGAGTGGCAAGTACTATAACTTATGAGAGATTATAGTGTAATGTGTAATTAGAGTTAAACAGACATTAATCAGACTTGCTCGGCTAAACAATGAGATTCCTATACTTAGGGGTATTGACTTGCTTGGTTGCTTCAAATTCATTCTGTGGTCGATTTAGACTTACCAACTGATTTATGCTTTGCTTGAGATCGTCGTTATTGACATGAGAATTCAAGATACTCACTCAAGCAAAGCGCAAATCATTGCGGCCGAGTCCAAATTGAGCATAAGACCATGAACATCCAAGATAACCAACACAGCAATGCTCGACGAGTTAGTAAAAGGATAAGGGATAACATACCCTGAGATTCCTACAATTTTTCTGAGCAAAACTAACATCATCTAAAATGATCATGCACATGTAACACAACAAAACCAGCATATTTGCAAAACAAAAAAGAAAAAAAAACGTGTAGTCATTTAGTAAAAAGGAGTAATTTGTTAAATTTGAACTTTTAGAATCAGTTCCTTTCAACTTTTAGAATCAACTAAACATGGATCATTAGGATCAATGGTTGAGCATATTATGGAATAATTTGTTAGAAACTACTCCGTATCAATTATAGAAACAAAGGTAAGAGCACTTTGTGTTATACTCTTGTGACTTGTGAGGAGGGTTATTAATATTCCTTTTTCCTTACCTTTAATTATTAGTAAATTTTGTATTAATTTGTTCCTATATTATATGATTATCTGTAAGAAAATTTGTAAGTATTATTGTTTCATAAGAATTTCTAATTAATCATACTTTTGATGACCTCAAATAATTCAACCCTCTAGGAAGTAGATTGTGTGTGTGTGTGTTTTTTTTTAATTTTTTTTTATGAAAAAGTAGATTATTTTATACTTATTGAAAAGTTTAATCTGCCAATGTAGAATTAAGTTAAATTACCAAAAAAAAAAAAAAGAAAAAAAAAGAGTGGTCCTGTAAATCTGATTTTTTGAAACCTTGATGCGTGCTTAAATAAGCAAAGAAATCTGATCTAAATGTTCAATAAAGTCCAAAATATGAAACAGACAGTAGGTTAGTCAAAATTCAATAAATTCAAAATGAATTTTCATATTTTTGGAGGATTGACGCAGCCCAATCATGTGATTCTGAGAGCAACGTTTGATATGGATACTTCATACATACTACTCGTACAGTCGTACATGGTATTTATAGTCAAAGTTAGAGTCCAACTTTCTGTAAACTTCTTCATAACATATAGACCTATTGGAGGAAAACGCATATCGAAATTCGGATTATTAGATAATACAGATTAATCAAAGTTGTGATTACTCTGATCACTTAATAAGTTATTCAAGTTCAGTTTTGCAAGTTGGATAAAGTTAAAAAGATACAAATTTTTCCTTAGTCTAGTGTATGCAGCTTCCCTAGAGTCTAGGAGTAAATAAATAATTAGTTGTAAAGATGGTTGTGGCCTTGTGTTTTGTGCTTTGGCTAGGCTCGGCCCACAATCGAATCAAATAACTACAATATTATGTAATGTCTAACAATTTTAAAAAAAATTCGAATCGGGCAACATTGGCATGGCTCCACCCACGCCACCGTGTCATATTTGTAGGTTTAACCCAAATATCATTTATTTTATCGTGGTTTATTGTGACATAACGTATCACGAACTCATGAGTCATGTCGAATGTTATATTACTTCATCCAATAAAAGGTGATCCATAGACATATCTTCATCCTATGTGTTTACTATCTACTCCGTATTGTGATGTGATGGATCACGTCCTATTGTAGATTAATCAGCCCAACCCAATATCATTTTCAAAATCGGGGAAACAACTAATAACGTCAATTTCAACAGAGTTGTCAAATTAAAAATTTTCCATTCTGTTGCGATCGTAGAATCTGTAAATTTCCTGTGTGCTATTGTTAATTCCAAAAAAAAATTCCTTAAAACAGCAAAATTTAAATACCAAAAAACAAACACAATGAAAACCTTGCCTCATCCACTTACCACATTTCCACATCCCCACTCTCTCTCTACACGCAGATCTCTTTCTCTCTCCTCCATTTTCTCTCTCCTCCATTTTCATGGCGATTATGCTTGATTCTCTCCTTCTTCCTCGAGCTTCAGCTTTTCCTTCTGCTGTATTATCTCCGATTTCTACTTCATCTTCTTCCTCAGTTTCTTCTCTCTCCTCTTCCTCTCTCAAATTACCAGAGTTCAGAGGCTTGAAGATCAGCTCCGATTTCTCAACTCGCGCTGTTAGATCGGTGAGTTCGCTCGCTAGAATCGTTCCTCGTTCTGGTCGAATCGTTTGCGAGAGCTCTGATACTGCTTTTCAATGTGAGTATGATATAATTTCTTCTCCATTTTCGTTAATTTTTTGGAGTTTGGATTGATTGTCGCTAGGTTTTTAGTTTGGGCGTTTACGATGCTTTGAATGTTATAAAATGACCTAAAATTTCAATTTCGATTCTGAATTTAGGAATATTTCGATGAGTTTACTGTGACATGACCTATGTTTCCGTTCTAAAATTATAATGTGAAAATTGATCGCTGATTATACTATGATTATAGTGATATATAACCTAAATTTCAGTTTGAATATGACCTGGAATTTCTATTCTGAATGCTGAAATGATATGATACGAGAATACAATGATATGATATGTTATTTGACCTAAATTTCAGTTATGAAATGATCAAAAATTTCAAAGTGTAGATTGAATGGATGAGATTTAGCTTAGGAAATGTGGAGTCAATAATTGATGATAATACTATCATATACGAATAGATAATGTCAATGTTCATGTTTGATTTAAATTGTACTTCGTAATCTGAATTGATTTTGAGTTGCAATGAGGAAAACAATCGTCAATGACTTCTTATGGTTCATGTTTGTGTTTTGTATGCAAATACCATGGTTGCATAACATTCTTATAAGCAATTTTTTTATGGTTACGTGTAGAAATTGGACTTAGAGATATTGTTGTAAGCATTACGTGTCCTTTGAGCATTCAGAGGTTGGTGGTGTAAGATTGGACTTTGGCTTGGGAAGACCGTAGTTGTGTTGTTGGAATTGATTTTATTGGTTATAAGCTGTACATTTCAACTGGTATGGTTTTATGAGGTTTCGGTGTGATATTGTCACTACAGTTCCTCCTGGCCTCACTATCTCATAAAGAATTGCTTGTAGTCACAAAATTATTGAGTGAGAAACTAATTTTTTTCTATCAAAATTTTGACCAGTCATCTTTTTTTCTCTAATTCTGACGACGGATTCGGAAAATGACTGATTGAGTTATGTTTAAGTATAAAATGTGTTCCTAAAATTACATTCTCACATTAGAAATAAGTATTACTACAATGGAGTGTTTGATTCAGTGTTCAACTATGAAATGAAATGAAACGTATAATCTAGATTCCAATACTAGCAAAGGCACTACACACATCGTATAAAATCAGGTGGCAAAAAGATAATAGTCAACTTTGTTGGAGTTTAAGTATGAAAGAGATAGGGAGGTGAAATGGAGGTGAGGGAGATAAAGAAAAGAGGATCAAAGGGTGGAAATAGGAGGAGAGAGGCAGTCAATCAGTTCCTGGCCCTTATTTTGTTGTTCCTAATATGCTCTTAAAGTGAAGAAAATATAGCCGTTGAGATAATTTTTGAAAGAATTAATGTGTTATATTTTCTCTGAACCTTGTAATTGGAGCGTATATTGTGGGCGCTCCTAAATAGGTTTTATTATTAGATGATCAATAGTAGCCCACCTTCTCCAACCTGCCAACCAAGTAGATATTTGATTTCTAGAAAGTGCAAGCCTTTCCATATTGTGTTCAATTTAAGTATGGGTTACTGAGAAAGGATCTATCCATTATGATGCAAAGTCAAAATATGTTTTGCTTTGCGGCTATCTGCACCTTTGCTCAAGATATATACTGTAGATATACTGTGATGGTAACAGTTCTAAGCTTATTGGAGTGCAGTACTCAGTAATTTACTTGGAAAATCTGTGGTGGCTTGTTTGTATTTTTGTGCATGAAGACCTTGGATATTTAAGAATGTCACAAGCTTTCTTTTATTTGGAATTATGCCATCATTTAGAATGTGGACATTGTGTTGAAATAATAGTGAAGGAAAAAATATTAAAGGATTTGATTTGCTAGTCATACTAGGAAAAGGTAGTACCATTGTACCAGAAACATGGCAAATGGATGCTTTTAGGAAAAGTAAACAATATTCTTTTGGACATCATAAATTAGAAGTGCGATTCCATAATAGAGTTTCACCTCTTTTGATCCACTATTCCACTAGTTATGCACCAATTTGAGACTGTTTTTTTTTTTAAATTGAATATATAATCTCATCTATGTGTATTGAGTACATAACCATTGCTGCGTTGTTTGCTGTTGCTATTGAAGTTAAACCCTGGTGAGTTCTTAGAATTTGTGGTGTGACAGTGTGAGTATTGAATTTAAGGTTCTAAAGGACATGGAAAATGGTCTGATTAGTCATACTCCCTCCGTCCCACATTATTTTTTTCGTTTGGGTTTTTCATATGAATTAAGTAATTTGAAAGATTAAAGTGTAAATTTGGCCCTCCCCTCCCCCCCCCCCCCCCGCCCTCTTTTTTTTTTTAAGTTAATCTATGACAAGGAGAGATTGCTTTTAAGTCATTTTGGAACTTAGTGACTATTGATGGTCCCCATGAATTCTTTTATTCATAGTGGGCACATTTTTAGGGAAAATTTGAGGATATTTGTGTTTACACATTTTCCAATGAAGGCATAATGAGAATAATTTATAACATAAAAAGAAATGGTAGATACATTTTTGGACACCAAAAATGGAAATAGGGAAAGTTAAAAGGGATAGAG